CTTTCCCCATTTCTCAAACTCCTCCACCAATTTGTTCCTGAGAACCTGAAGAAAAATCTTAGGATACCCACCTGCAAACCAAAACTTTCTTTGAAGTAGCAGATTTTATCTTTATAATTCAAGCAAAACTTTCATTTTCTTATATTGTGTATTCTTGTTTTAATATAAAATTAATATTTAAAATTTGTATCAAGTCAAATTAACAAGTATGATCATGTACCGTGTAACATTTCTGTCAATGATGGACTGCATATATGAACTATCTTAAGTGGTTCCTTAAAACTAGCAAATTTTACTACATATACACAGAGAGAGTAAAAAGCAGTTTTACTGTTCACAATAGCAAAGACATGGAATCAACCTAAATGCCTATCATTGATAGACCAGATAAAGAAAATGTGATACATACACCACGGAATACTACAGAGCCATAAAACAATAAGATCATGTCTTCTGCAGGAACATGGTTGGATCTGGAGGCCATTATCCTTAGCAAACTAACACAGGAACAGAAAACCGAATACTGCCTGTTCTCACACTTATGTGGCAGCTAAATGATGAGAACACGTGGACACACAGAGAACAACACACACTGGTGCCTTTTGGAGGATTGAGGATGGGAAGAGGGAGAGGATCAGGAAAAATAACTAATGGGTACTAGGCTTAATATCTGAGTGATGAAATAATCTGTACCACAAACCCCTATGACACAAGTTTATCTATGTAATAAACCTGTACTTCATGCCTAATCATAAAATAAAAGTATAAAAAGAAGATTGTGGGATTTCCACCTTACCTTTTCTGTATTTAGATATGTTTATGCACTGTGTTACAATTGCTTATGTATTCAGTACAGCAACATGCTACACAGGTTTGTATCCTAGGAGCAATGGGCTAGACCATACAGCCTAGGTATGTAGTAGTAGACTATTCTAGCTAGACTGTTCAGGTACACTCTATCAGGTTCACACAATGATGAAATCACCTAGCAATGCATTTCCCAGAATCTGTCCCCACTGTTACACAATGCATGATTGCATATTCTAATTACACATGGGCTGAGAAAGCTCTTTTTCAGCTACTGCAAATAAGTGATAATCAGGTTCTTTAAAAAGTTCATTTATTTGTTTTTGGAGACAGAGTCTCACTCTGTCACCCAGACTGAAGTGCAGTGGTGCGATCTTGGCTCACTGCAATCTAGACCTCCTGGGGTCAAGCCATTCTCCCACCTCAGCCTCCCAAGTAGCTGGAATTACAGGTGCATGCCATTATGCCTAATTTTTGTATTTTAAGTAGAGGCAAGGTTTTGCCATGTTGACCTGGCTGATCTTAAACTCCTGACCTCATGTGATCCGCCCAACTCAGCCTCCGAAACTGCTGGGATTACAGACGTGAGCCACCACACCTGGCCCAGGCTCTTTTTAAATACCCACAGAGAATGATCACAATCTTCTAGATCATATGATTCCACATTAGTAAGAAAGTTATTTCATATAGTTTACATATAATCTTTTTAAAAAAAAAAGTCTGACCATTGGTTCTACTCTTACAGGGTTGCAGAGAGTGGAGACGGGAGGAGCAGCACAAAACCTGAAACAGCTTGTATGGTGTCCTACAGAGAATATCTTCCCACCAATTCAGAAAACTTGGTCTAGTGAGTACAATGATTGGGGGATGTCAAAAATAAAATAAAAGAGGTAGATCAAGACTGAGATTAAAGACAGAGAATGAAGAAAGGACCAATAGGATATGGTAACAGAATGATACGAGATAATTTTTAAAAAATTTTAAAAAGAGAAGAAGTTGATGGAGAAATTGATGACTCCCAGTCTGGGTGACTGGGAGAAACTTCGGTAATGTCTTTAACAACAATGGCCAAAAAAAAAAAAATGTCATGCTGAAAAGAAAAAAGCGTTCAATTTTATTAATGCTGCCCTTCAAACAATAACAGAAGACTCAGGTGGAAATGTCCCAAGAAATATATTTGGAGTCATCGCTAAAAAATTGAGGCTTTGTTGTTTCCCAGGAAGCAGGCAGTGCAAGAGTGGAGAGGAGATTTCGAAGATGGCCCATGATGTGCTGGCTCTGAGTCAACTGAACCCCAGGGAGAAGCAGCAGGTGCATGGCCTGTGGGGAAATGCCTTTAGAGAGAAGCAAGTAATAAGGAGTGTACAATCTAGCACAAATGTAAATGTGAACACAGACAGGGAAAATACCAAGATTTGGACAAGAAAAAGGTAATCGCTAACTTTAAGAAAAGTGGTTTCAATAGGGTAATGGCAATAGAAGTGATATGAACGAGATCTTAGGAGGAATGGTGATAAGCCATGATGGGTGATGGAAGCTGTGAACGTTTATAGAAAATTCAATTAAGTAATAACTGTCAGTGTTTTAGAATAATTGTAATCTATCTAAATGAAATGCAACTTCTGGTAACCATTCAGGAGCAATAAATAAGAGGTATTGATAGTGCCATGTTATTGCAATTGCATTGTTTCAGCAATGGTTTAAAAAGGTGTAAATCTACAGAGGAAGATTAAATGGAAACTCTTGATATACATGTTTTTCTGAAGAAGGCCAAAAATTGTCTCGGAAGGTGCTTTTCACTTCAACTGAATTTGAACCAGACAATTTAGTAAGGCTCTTTCTGGTACACAGAATGATTTTATGCTTTTATCAGTATCTGAGTCAAAACAGAAACAAAGTCCATGGTGAGAATTTTTATTAATGATACATTCCAATACAAGATAGTCTAGAAAAGCAGAACACGTCAGTATTGATACCAAAGGCTTCATAATCCAACACTTAATAGTTATTCAGATATTGAAGTTACATATGTGGTGACGTCTCAGGATCTAGCTGCATTTATTACATAGGACACACACTGAGCATGCCAGAGTGGATACTTACGTGGATGTAAATATGCACTGGGCGGGACATGGTGGCTCACTCCTGTAATCCCAGCACTTTGGGAGGCTGAGGTGGGCAGATCACCTGAGGTCGGGAGTTCAAGAGCAGCCTGGCCAACATGTAGAAACCCTGTCTCTACTAAAAATACAAAGTTAGCCAGGCATGGAGGCGTATGCCTGTAATCCCACCTACTCATGGGGCTGAGGGAGGAGAATCACTTCAACCCAGGAGACGGAAGTTGTGGTGAACCAAGATTGCACCATTGCATTCCAGCCTGGGCAACTAGAGCAAACCTCCTCTCCAAAAAACAAAACAAAACAAAAAATATGGCTTGATTGATAAATGTATAGTAAATATTTACTAAGGAACTCATTAAAGTTCAGCCACTTTTATAGACCAATAATGTTGAAATTAAACCAAATATTCTCTTTGATTTGTGAAAGAACCTTTTGTTTCTTTTTTTTTTTTTTTTTTTTTTTTTTTTTTTCAAGAAATGGTACCTTGCCATATTTGCCAGGTTGGTCTTGAATTCAAGGCCTCCAGCGAGCCTCCTATCTCAGCCTCTCAAAGTGCTGGGTTACAGGTGTGAGCCACTCTGCCTGGCCTATAACCTTTCGTTTATTCTGTGTTTCTTTTAATAAATGAAGTAAATTATACTGTTCATTCCAACAAAAATTATCTTTTTCTGTCGTGGTTGTTTATATTGAACCATAAGCATTTGCCATACTTCGTTGAACAGAAAAGTTCAAAATGGCGATGGAGTTCCTGTGAAATGCAAAGTTATGCTCAAGCTCAATGAAGAAAGGAACCTAGAAAGATCCTCTATGTATTAGCAGGGAGGCTATACAAATATGCAAATATATGCATTTGGGGAGCATAGCTTCATGTTAAGCTAACAAAAAGTAGGCCTATTACAATACCTCGACTGAAGAAAAATTGCCATTATTTTGTCTTTTTCTTTTTCTTTAAATTAAAAACTGGCTTTAGAAGAGGTGAGCTTCTTTCTTAAAAATAGATATTTTTCCTTGGGTGTTAGGATGAAAATATATAACACACATATGTACACAGACTTATGATGCTGAATTGAAGAAGAAAACTAAGGAAATATATCAGAACCCTTGGAAATATGAACATCTTGTCACTGAAATATCCAGAAGGAGGCTGGGCGCGGTGACTCACTCCTGTAATCGCAGCACTTTGGGAGGCTGAGGCAGGAGGATCAAGAGGTCAAGAGATGGAGATCATCCTGGCCAACATGGTGAAACCCTCTCTCTACTAAAAATACTAAAATTAGCTGGGCATGGTGGCACGTGCCTGTAGTCCCAGCTACCTGGGAGACTGAGGCAGGAGAATCACTTGAACCAGGGGGAAGGAAGGAAGGAAGAAGGGAGGGAGGGAAGGAAGGAAGGAAGGAAGGAAGGAAGGAAGGAAGGAAGGAAGGAAGGAAGGAAGGAAGGAAGAAAAAATACAGGAGCCCTCAGAATCTGCACTAAATAAAGTAACTAGGTAATTGTATTTATAAAATAAATTGTCTCAATTTACATTACAAAAATAATCATCACTTAATTACATCCTAACATCTTGGAGGTTTTTATAACTTTAAAATTCCTGTGCAGTACTTGGGCCAATCAGGTAAAATACTACAAATATTATATTTAAAATTATTTTCTACTATATTTCTTTTCTGGAAAATTACTCTGTTTGCAGAATTCAAGCAGCTTCAGCTGCTTGAAATCCTGAAATCCCTTTGTGCTTTCAAAAATCACACTTCATAAAGGGCATTTATTCTATAGAATTAAAGTTTACTGAATAATAAACATACTTTAAGTGATGCAAGCTGTCAAAACCCTTGAATGTTAAGTTAAAGCTGATAGCCCTTCGTAATTTTTGCTGCTTTGGAAAAGGAAAAGAAGCAGAATGAGAATGAATAATAAAGGCAATTTCACCTTTGAATTTCTTCATCTTTGTGTATTTGTCATAAATAACAATTTAAATATCCTCTAAGGTTAATATTTTCTGATTTGATATGAAGGTACAGAAAAAAATTAATATATTCAGGCATAATATGAGGCAAGAGAGACTGAAGCATCTTATTTGTAGCAAATTTTATTTTCAAATAACCATAAAAGGTATCCAATTACTCTTCAGATTAATTTATAAGATCATGCAAAATGTAAACAGAAAGTTCCAAAAGAAAAAAATGTTCCTGACAATTCTAATTTGTAAGGGAAAAGTACACAGAAATGCACACCAGGAACTTTCTACGTATGGCTAATACCTGGATCTTTATTCTTGCTTGAGTTTTGTCATCTTAGCACAAGATAAAATGTATGCAAAGAAACAAAAATTAATCCAAGGGAAAAGAAACTTACTCATGTGATACATGATAAGGGAGGGTTAACTATATTAATATTCACAGAGAAATGTTGCAAGTAGGGAGTGATGTTTGATAAAATTATTTTATTCTGCAACACAGTCAAACGGAAATTTAGTTGTGGCAATAATGTTACTACTTACATCATATTCATAGACCTTTCCTTGAGTATCATGCACAGTTCTCAGCTTTCCCTGCCCCAACATCATCCCCCCCACCCCCACCCCACTGCCAGGGAATCTCATAAAATAAAATGGAAATCTTCCCAGAGGGCATTTAAAATAATATTTTAAGTTATAATTATAATTTATTTTTAAAATAAGGTTAATCATATTATTATTCTGAAAAAAAACTGTTGTGAGGGCAGAGTAAGTATTATTAAACTGTTTAAAATCAACAGCAAACCATTGAAAAAAACCCTTCCTAGTTTTGACATTGGCTGGAAGCAAAGGACTGCGGTCTTACATTAGAGTCGTTTTTATTTATTTTAATATTGAGAGTTGGTTCCCAATTACTAAAAACAGAAACTAGATCTAAAAGGCCAATCTAGATTTATCTATATATGGTTTCAAAGAAAATTCAATATTCCTTCAATTTAGACTAAGTCCTGTTGTGCTTATTTTGCCCTGTTGTGGAACAGACTACAAAATGTAAAAGCTATTGAATGACCTCAAGAGTACACAAACTCTCTACAAGTAAAGCTAGCTTTGTTTATAACATGGCTAAAATTTAAATAGCAAAACTTCATATAAAATTAGGTGTTTATATTTATTTTTTACAACTGTATTATCCCTAACATACTCTTTAAGAGCCTAGAATGACATGATTCCAAATTTCCATTCCAGAGCTTCCCAGTTCTAATGCATTCCACACAACACCCCTTGCAGTCACACTGCAACAGAAAATGAGATGATATTTATATGTGGCTAAAAAACAATACTTTGACTCCCCAAAAAGGGGTTATTATAAAGGAAAGTATGGTACATTCCACTGGGATTTTTCTAAATAAAGCTATTTATGTTTTAGGTGATGAAAAATCACCTAAGTTTTAAAAGTGTTTGTTTTGGGTCCTTTATTATGGAGTTTTACCCTTATTTGAGGTATCAAAATCCTATCCAGTACATAAGTCAGTATTAAGGTGGCTGTTCAACCAAAGCACACAGACACTAACTCTCAGTGAAGCTTTTTGCCCAAGATCAATCTGCCAGCAGTTAGACTAACCCAGGCAATTGGGAGGTAGAAGCTATGAAAATTTAGTGCCCTGCTCTCAGCTAAGAGGTCCACATTTTTCTATTCCACACTAAACAGTAAGTGTGCAGTTGCCCAGACTCAAAGACTGCTTTACATCACAGTGAAGTGCAATAGACCTTCCAACTCTGCATCACACGCTTTCTCTTCCCACTCACATAATTAGTACTCCTTTCTACTTTTTTTTTTAAGTTTTAAAAAATGTGCCTGTTTCAAATTTGTATTATTTTTTTCAGATGTCTAATTTCAGTTATATTCGTTTCCTCTCTGGTCTCTTCCTGCATCTCACATACCAGACAAATATTTAAAGGTCTGTAAAACCAGGCGAAGTTCCAAAATACTTCTAAATGAAATTGCCATAGGTGACAGAACAGGGAAAGAAGGCAAGGCTGTAGGGCAAAGATTTGAATAAACTGGCTGGAAATGCATTGGAAAATATATTTAAGTTGCTATAGCGGCGGATGAGGTTTCGATGAGGCATAAACATTCAAGTTACTGACAAAACCAACATGTTTCATGATCACTCAAAATAGTCTACTTGTCATGGTGCATTGCTTTTCTTTTTTTTATTAGTAAGTTGCTCTCTCTCCTTTAAAGTTTTTTCTTTTTAGTATTCAAGAAGTGAAAGCATTTAAGAAAACATTCAAAATTCTAAGAATACATGTAAGTGAAATATTTAATGTCTGTCATTCATAAAAGTTACATCATTTACATAGGGTTCATTTGTATATAATAAAAATTTCATCATAATGAAAAATTTTCTGGAAAGTATTTATATGTTAGTTTGTTTAACATATGCTTTGGATATAAAGCTAAATAGGAATAGCTAAAATTTTATTCTTCAAATATTCCCTTTAACAATTAAAAACAACTTCATTCCTAAATATTTGTGTCTTTCCATTTGCTCCTGTGTTTGTAATAATCATATGTAACTTGAACTATGCAAAGATTGAATCTTTTTATAGTTCAGAATATATTTGTATACTTCAATAAATTTGTTCATTGCATAGCAAACATGTAAACTCACATAGGATCTATAAATTTTACCCTAGTAATCTAAAAAAGTTGCTGAAATTTTATACAATAGTCTATTCTAAGATTTATTTTGTTGTAATTTGTGTTCACTTTGATTTTACTTTTAATACATGTGGCAATTGAATACAACAAATGAAAATAAGTCGTGAAAAGGTAAAAACCAAGTAAGTAATTTTAACCTAGATTACCAGAATTTAATCTCATTATGCTGTTTGTATTTTTTATTAGTATAACAAGTTGTAAATGTACTGTGCTGCCTCTTTAACAGTGTTCAAAATTAATTTCAACAGTGTGTGTTTAACATAAAGTTAACTATGTTTGCATCAAATAAATGTTTATTAATGAAAGCTATTTATCATACAAGAAACAGCAAAGATAAGTCATCATACAGAGGTGTACACTAGAGGTGACAGATGTAAAAGTGCATGCAGAGATTTCTGTTTAAAAAGGAAGTAATAAACAATAATACTAAAATTACTGGGTTTTGATCCCTATACTCTTAAATGAGTGATAGCTTTTCTTTGAATTTACAATTGGTAAATGCCATTAACAGGACTAATACACATTAGCAAGCAGGTGAAATGAATGTTTTGGACTTTATTTTACAACTATTTGTGCTTGACAAATGTGTGAAAGTTTTTTCAATAATAATTTTTTTTCAAATATGGGGTGGGCATATTACTGCCAGGTTGCTCTGGTTTTGTACATGGTTTATCTAATTTTGTTTAAACCATATAATTTTAAGCCTTCAGTTGTGTTAGACACCATAAAGAATACAAGTTTTGTTAACATTCAGTAAATGACATTTAAGTCTCTCTCTCTCTCTCTCTCTTTTTTTTTGGCTCAATAAATTTTTTAATGTATGATTATCATAACCTAATAGTGTCTTTGTCTTCACTGCAGTGGATTTCCGATCAAACTTTTCCCCTTCTTTTAATACTTTAGGGAATTTTCAAACGTCGGGATGTTTGGCTGTAATGCCCCAAGATTTGTTCTCCCTGAAAAAAATCATAGTGACAATTTATTAACTACAGAGCAACTTGGCTTTTAGGGGTCTGCAATTTCTATTTAGATTTACAAATATCCACTTGTGCTCAATAGACCTAACATAAAATCTTAATCATATTTAAGGTTTATTTCCATGCAATTACTTTATCTGCTAATTAGCCTTTTTATTCTAAAAATTAGACTGAGTCAAATCAGTGGGGCATTACTTTTATTATAAGCAAATATATTTAAAGTATTTCTAGACTGAATTACATTGCATGTGCAACAATGTGTAACATTTAATCTGAATCAGAAGTTTGGAAATCTAAAAACTATTTGTATGTTTAATTTCTAAAAATTTTGTATTACCATTTGAATAGCTTTTACATATAGATACTGGAACACACTAGTACAATTAAAACTTAAATAAAACTGATGGGAAATAAAACTCCTTAGATTCAAAATGGTTTATTCACACAAATTTAATAGGATATATCACAATTGTTTGGTCCATAAATATTTAGGGGAAATAGTTTCTATACAATGCATTTATCAATAAACAAAGAAACATGGACAATTTTGCTAGACCACTTACTGTACTATAAACACGAAGCTCAATATATAAGATTATTGAATTTATCAACTATATTTGAAAGAGTGCACAACTGCTTTCTATGACATGTTTGTCCTCTCTAACAGGATACACCATAAAAAGAGTTTCAGAAATAAGAGGTAAAACAGTACAAAACTAGTGAGGTGTCAAAAGGGCTTAAAACAGTTAATTTAACAAACAACACATATATCCTGATTTTTCACAAACTTACTTCCAAGTTATATCATAAGGCACATAGGAGAACTGAGTTATAATTAGTCTACTTAATAAAGTAGATCTATAGTACCATATATTGTTCTGTCAAAGAACAAAATTTATAAGTGTCAATATTTTACCTGTAAAAGTGTATTAATAAGATCTCAGCCTTACCAAGGTTGTTTGGTCTGGTTAGTGGTAAATGCCCAAAATGTAATAGAAATATGAAAAGTCAAGATTTAAGCTCCATATAAGATGATAACCATACTTGCTAAATATATAATGGCAATCACACCTTTCTTCTGTTACAGTGTTAACTTATCTTCCATCATCTTTTTTTAAAAAATAAGCTACTTTCTGTGCTAATTTTCTAAAGACCCTGAGCAAAAGTTACAATAATGCACTTTAATGTGGGCAGTGAACTGTCAATATGTAACCACACATTTATACAGCCAGAAGGACACCTTTAAAATCTATTAAATAGCCACTTGGACCACCAAAGGAGATGTAAGGGGTCCAAAAAGTGGAGAATATGTGCAAAGTTATTCTTAACAATCCACCAAAGCAAGACATATATCTTGACTTCTTTTTTATTTTTATTTTTATTTTTTTTAGGAAATCCACAATCTAATTGGTATTTAACTACAACAGAAGCACAATAGATGAACGTTCACCACTGCCCAGACCATTCAGATTTTAGCTTAAATTAAAAGAAAAAAAAATGCTACTGTAAACTAGGAAATATATTCAGATCAGCATCCACAAGGCTTCTGAGTTTATCTACTTTAAGACTAATAACTTCAAATCTCTAGTATCAGAAAAGTTATTTTCAATACATAAGTCAACCTATGCCAAAATAAAATAAAACAAAACAAAACAAATTGTTGGTATTAGTCTACCAGGCTGGGTTTTTTTTTAACATTATTCATATAGAATGCCAGATACAATATCATGGTACAGCTGAACCCAATTATTAGAGCTATTAATTTAATTATACTGATTTTACTTCTTAAAAAATTATATTTTGCTTATTTCCATTTTCCCTGGGAAAAAAAAGTAACTTAGAAAGAATGGCTTCCAAGCTATTGTTTTTCACTTTAGGAGGTTAAAAGTATGAAATGTCAAAATCTATGCGGAGTTTTCATGGATACACAGGGAGCTTAAGTATTTTTCAAATGCTGAAAAACAACCAAGAAAAAAGTTTTTTGAGTTCTACATCCCTAAGAGAAGGAAAACTCATATTCCTATAATAGATCTCCCACCTAATTAATCATTACTATTTAAAATGTCTGTATTCCTCATTTAAATTAACAGTTTAGTTAAGAAATAAAAATACTCAAAACAAGTTTTCACTTTAAAAATTTTTAAATGTAATGTTTTCAAAATTCCATAAATCACACGTACAATTGCAAGATTTAAAAATTAACTATTTAATTATCTGGTTCTTTATTAACCTAATCATTTAACTGGGAATATGATTATTTGCCCATAATAATACCACTCTTTTTTTTTCTTCGAGATTCTGGAAATAAGTAACATATAATTTTAAGAGGCACTTATTAGAACTATTCAAAAACTCTCCTTATCAACTGAAAGACCTAATTAATTTTTTTAAAAATCCAAATACACTTTATAGACAAAATATATTCACTTAAAGGAGACAATACTGTAAACTCATTTGCCAAGTGGCTGCAGATGCTACACACCAAGCTGTTATTTTTATTCCCCAAATATCTTGTGGGTTAGAAGGAAAAAAAAAAAGTCTTGTAAATAATAAAATAATAATAATAATAAAAAGAAGAGGAAGAATAAAAAAAAAAAAAAACCAATGTTAGAAAAGGTTCGTTAAGGTAGTTTGTGAGGGGCTTCCGGATTCGTGGCTGTCCATGTTAGAGGTCACGGCTGTCACTACAGTGATAGTGGGATTGGTCAGGTCTGTTAAAGTGGTCGCAGTGCCGGGTGGAGTGAGAGCTCCGCTGTCTGCTGAGGGCGGGGCCGGAAGCGACGTGCCATCAGCTTTATCAACACCCCCATTCTCCTGCCGCAAAAGGTTCCTTCTGAATTTGGCTCGTGCGTTTTGGAACCAAACCTGCAAACCAATCCCAATTGATTTCTTTACCGATGTTCATTTTTATATTTCTTTTCTTTCTCTCTCACTTTTTCTTGTTTCTTTCTTTTCCTTTCTTTCTTTTTTTTTTTTTTTAAATATATTTGTCTCTCCTTTCAAATATAATTGTTATTTTTGGGGGGAGGAAAGGGGCTTTTGTTTTCTTTCTTTTAAAACAGAGTTATTCAAGTAACACTACGGATTTTTTCTCTCTCAGCTGCACTTATTCCACCCTCTCGCATTAACAAGTGCCACTTGGAACAACTGAGGCTTACATGGGTATATCATGGAAATGAACACATGGTGATAAAGCGGGGGAAATATAGTGTGATTCCTCAACTGTTATCTTTTGAGAAGGGGAGGAAGCAGGGCCATTGAAACTATGGCAAAGTAAGAATCACTCGAATGAAATGAACATCCCTGAAACAGACTTCAAGCCACTCGTGAGCCTAACACATGGTGAATATTCTTCACATAGGAAGGGCCACAGACCTCACACAGCCTGAAACTGTTTAGTGGAATTTAACATGCCTGCTATTTGTCACCAAGAAGTGAGAGAAGCTCACAGGCACAGCAACCTATTATAATTTCTTAGTTATATGTTCTTACCATGATAAGTTTAGTAAATCAATCGGACAGCAGAACTAACTCCCAGTATTTTGTTTTTAATTATGGTTTGTTAAGGCAGGAAAATACTTGCTCCAATTGGTTGCTGAAACACTAACCATATTTTTGGCTTTTCAGGAGTGGAAAAAAGGATCCACCTGAAGTTGGAAGGTGAGTGAGGCTGCCAAAAGTTTGCTGAGTTAAGACAGCACCAACAGGTCCCTCTCAAGTCTGTGCACTGAGCATAATATTAATGGAAATCCATAGAGCCACAGCCTGTGCAAATAACATCACTTGCATTTGCACAGCAGTGAGACAAGCTGTGCTGCCTTTGGAGGGCCCATGTCGACATATGCAGAGAGAATGTGGCTCTATTTAAAAGACCCTGGGTCGCTGGGCACCCAGGAAGCCCTTGCAAAATCTCAGTACACCCTCTAGGGAGATAGGTAACATAAACTGGTAAGAAGCAATATAGGGAAAAGCACTATTTTCACTGGCAAGGGGAAGGGAAATGTATGCACAGTCAATGATGGAACGTGTCTTACCTGCAAAACTCTTTTGGTCAGGCCTGTTTTCTGGGCAAGCTGCTTGAGGTCCTTGGCATCTGGGTTGTGGTTGATGGCAAAGTAGGATTTCATGGTCCGGAGCTGGTGGTGCTTGAAGGAGGTTCTCATGCGCTTGGTCTTCTGTGAGGGTGGATAAGGCTGTTGGTCCCGGTCCAAGTGGTCTGCCTCATTCTCGTTACAACCTGTTGCAGTAACAGTGAACAAAACAACTGCTCAATGGAAATTCTTGCATTCGCTGACATGATGGCAGGCTGTATGACACTGCTGTGGTAATAAAGCAGCAGTGAAAAAGGCTGTCAACCCAATTATGAATAGTATCTAAACAAAAAGAAAGAAGATAATTGCTAAAGTGAGCCAAACTCATCTGTTAATGTAGATACAACCAAAGTTTATGTAATAGAAAAACATTAATGCAATCCTATCTTTGGCTTAATTGTTGCTAGAAGAATTTGAGAATATGAACAAACCCTAAGTAGTAAAGTGGGAGTGAGAAGAAGAAACCCTTTTCTAACACAGTTATGAGTACCAGCTCCCCACTGCCTTCACTCACAGTGCTTTAAGACTCTACCTATTGTCTGTATTTCTGGAATGAGACACGCTGTCTGAAGGTATTGCTTTTTGTCACGAGGAGTAAGGAAAAAAGTATTAACACGTTCTCAAGTCTGAAAGTTTCTGAGAGCCCAATAACTAAGGAAGCATCTAGGTCAGTTCCAATGGTTAGCCTTTTCTCATATTGCTGGAGCTCTCAGTCAGGAAAAGGTTAGAAAAGGCTGAAAAGTGGGGAGAAGTTAGAAATTTCAAATTTGTGAATTTCTTATGTAAACATAAGAATATTATTTGTTTCAGCTTTTAGCTATGACTGGTTAACATAGGGCTATACCAGAAAGAAAATATTTTTCCCCTGGAGTGATTTTAATAAATATTCCTGAAAGAGAATGAGCCCAGACTTGTCTTCACACGGTTTATGCCTGAAGCGCTCCCCACAGCTCACAGTTGAGAGACACTGATGGTGCTTATTTCTAGGCTCAGATCTTAGTCCCTTTTGCTCCAGATGTGTGCAAGTGGGATGTGAGCTGTGCCCCTGGCTGGCCTGGCAGAGAGAGGGCGGCATTTTCTCTCCTCTTACAAAGACTTGCTCAGCACCCAGGGCAAAACAACCCAGTCTTTGAAACCAGCCAGAAAGTCATTATCCCCAGGATGTAAAGCTACACATTTAAAGGGTCATTTCCAAGAATCTACTGGCTCTGCATAGGAAATACAATTGCAAAATGAAAACATTTTTGTGAAATATTTACTGATTCAGTCAACTTCACAAATTAAAGAGCATGGCAGTTTTTTTTCTTTAAACCCTTCCTTCAGATAGTTATCTGACATAAATTTAGATCTGATCATCCTGTCTTGCACTGCTTTATAATAAAAAATGTTAAACTATCCTGATCATGTCATTCCAGGGAGAAAGAAACCTGAATCTTAAAAATGGGAGGCATCCCTTAATATGAGCTCTTCCAATCTGCTTAACAAAGTATTGTCTGCCTGCTAGATAGAGTTAGAATCACTTTTTAATAAATATTCAGCAAATCAACATATTTACAGAAATACGTGTTTTATAGTCATCAGCCAAGAGGTCAGCCACATATAAAACTCACTTAACTAGAAATTCCTAGTGTAAAAAGACTAGGCACAAACAAATGCCTCCTTTGTGTTTCCATAAGACTAATAAGCAGGAGGACACACTTGGCAAAAGAGCAGGTGAGTTCATTGAGGGAAATAACTATACCATATTCACCTTTGGATTGATTCCCTGAATCAAACACAGGGGCAGGAGCTCAAGAAGCATTCAGTCAAGATGTCAGGCCCTTTGTTCATCAGTAAAATTACAAGTGAGTATTAATGCAAAATTAATATAACTTGAAGTGGAATCCAAGTCAGATATATACATTCGAATGTGAAACATAGGCTTCTTAAACTCCACCAGAAAGAGTAGCATATATTCAGAGATAACAGAAAGAGTATGCATTACATTTTATCCTATTTTGGCCCAGTGGGGATATGTCAAGTTCAAATATTCTACAGAATTGCCCTTTCATACCCTCAAATGGATGAAACAGCATCTCTATGACCTACTATAAAACTATACTTGTCTCCAGTAAACTGAGCCATATTTCAGAACCAGATTATAAATATACCCACAAAAAATAGCCAAAGAGGCACACATTAGTCATTGGAGGGTTCTTCAAGTAAGATTTCTTTTCTATCATATGTAACATGTAATCTTTCCTGAACAACACATCAAATTGAATTTTACACTTGGGACAGAAGACTTGGTGTTTAAATAATCCCCTTAGCCATCTTTCCCCCTACTACATACCAGGGTAATATATAAAAATGAATATGATTCCCAACCTGACTTTATAATCATTAGTTCTTAAAATGAAGTTTATGAAAAATAGTTGTTGTAAGATTTGATGAAATTCCTTCCCTGAATACGCATTCTATATCCTTTATTGCTGATTAAAACTCAGAAGAGCACTTTAGTGTGTTAAATACAGTTATAGCCTCTGTTTCCACATAAAATACACAATCCAATGTATAAGGAGATAGCTTGTTGGGTCTTTATTAAACAGATATTACTATATGTGATTTTCCTGTGACTGTTTTCTCATGTTACACAACTTAATAGAGAGACTTATTTCTTCTACAGAGTAACAGTGCATTATCTGATATTATTTATGTTTAACTACACATGCATTATGTAAACTTGCAAATGACCATTTGTCTCCAAGGCCTGTTTCTAAAGCCATAGGGGATTCCCCCACTCCCCGAACTATGAGATGAAATGATAACTCTTAAAACTGTCTTAAATATCTGCCTGTAAGTTCACATCCAGTATTATAAAGTTAATGAGAAGGTCAAGTATTTTATCTCCAGTCACTTATGCAGTGGTCAGCCACCCTAAAGGGAGTGTCTGCAGTGACGGCATGTAACCTTCTGAGAATTAACTGATTCCTGGAAGACCACTAGGGGTCAGTACCAGGCTAATTTAACCACCAGGAGCCTTCGAAGTTTGGATAGGAAGAGAAGACCTAAGGAAAGGATATTTTGAGAAGCAGCAAAAGTTTATTCTCTCAATTAATGTTTAAATTACACAAATAAGAGCTTCCTATCCTAAACCAAATCTTCTTCTCATCCCTGGAGGGCTTTATTTCAAGCTAGCATTTCAGGTAAACTTCCCTCGTCTCTTTCCAAAATATCTGCCTGATTAATGTGCACAGAGAGATAAACGAAACTAGGGATATTCTCATTAAAAGGCATTTGCCCTATGTCAGGCACTAGCTGGTCTTTGCCAAGTTTCACAACTTCTCTGAGATTCTTTGAACCACAAACATGTTTTCTGCACATTTTTAAAACATAGCATTGGGTAAATTATACTTGGTTTAGTATCAACCTTACCCTTTATGAGACTTGTTTACATTTAATAAGAGATGGCAGATAAAATCCAAAGAAGGCTAAAATAATGAGTTAAAACTGATTAACTTTATTTTTTACATTTTAACATATGTTTAATTTGCTGAAGGGTTTCTTTCCCTAGTTCTGTAGCAAAGTGGCATTAGATTCACAAGCACCGCTTTAAATGATGGGCTGATTTCTGGTCAGGCATCTTCAAACCAATTCCCATAGATAATTTTAACCTGATCTTTAAAATATATATACTATTTACTAGTATCTCTGGGAAAAGTACAGAAAGAATGGAGTAGATGTTAACTAAGATGCATCCAGTTTGTAGTGGTGGGAGGTACAAAGTTAGATTAAGGGGGCCTCAGCAATTTTTCCCTCCTTTGGGAACAAGACAAAAGCAAACTTCTCTTCAAATTGTAGCAGCATGAATTTGCAAACTAAAGACCTAAGTGGCTCAGAAGGAGACTTGCATTCTTCTTAAAAATACATTTGTACTCTCTAGTTATTTTCAGAGAAGTAAAATACTCTAAATTCTACTGTTCTTAAAGCTCCTTGGATCTATCTAACATGAAGTAAGATCCAAGGCGAAATCAAATTTAGCTAATTAGATTAAATAAACAATCAAAAGTCAGGCTTGCCCACTGTTGGGCTAGAAATCCTCACCCTTCGGCTTTTTATCTGGGCTGAGAGAGCCCTTCTTTCACAAAACTCCATCCATAGTTTTTTCTATGAGTTGCGCTCTCTCTCTCTCTATCTCTCTCTCTCTCTCTCTCTCTCTCTCTCTCTCTCTCTCATTAGGGCCTTGGTGAGTGGCTTGAGATTCCAATGTCATCTTCTATTAATAAAGAACAATTAGTGCCCTGCCTGCCCTGCCCCGGGGACCAGGCATCAAAGAAGATGAAGTAAGCCTACTGGGCAAAGTGGCCCCTAACCAAATCTCCTGCCCCAGCACAGCAGGGGCCACTGTGAGGGCATGGACACTACCAAGGGTTGGCAAAACCCGGGGCTTTGCCTGCTTCCCTTGCACAGACTGACCGACCCCAGTGAGATCTGCAGTGAGTCGGCAGGTCCTTTTCCTTCTGTTCAGCGACCCTGGCTTGAACCCCCTAGGGACAAGTGCTGCACAGCATTCCCCATTGCTCCCTGCAAGGCCACCCACTGTGCTTGCCCACAAAGAATTCTCCTCTTCAGTTACATCAGGCGGTAGAGAACCCCAGGAAAGAACCTAAGGGAGGTCTGAGGAAGCGGCTGCTCATCCTGTGTGCGTTCCCCTGAAAACTCCAAACTCAGAGCCGGACTCTTAGCTCCAAATTCACACTGGCTGTGTGATCTTGGGCCAATCACTTAACTGGCTGGACACTGTGCTTTACCACTGACCAGCAACATCAGGCATCATACCGGGCCTTGGGAACCGAAGAGAAAAACAGGCAGGATCCCGTGCTCTGGGGCGCCCATGTTTGGTTTCTGGAGCGTTTGTGGTAATAGAGTGGGGTTGCCATAATAGTCCTCAAGGTCCCTTCCAGCAGAATGGTTTCCCCTGTCCTGGGTGTCAGTCTGCTGAGATTCTCAGCCAGGTCTGGACCAGGGCACTGAAAGTCCTTAGGGCTCCCAAAAAGTTAGCCAGGGCTTTCTGAAACCTCTTTTCCAATGACTGGGACTCAGGAAGAGCTTCTCTTCTGCTCAGAGTTAGAGTATCATCTGTAGGGCCAATCACCATCCTCACCTGGAGAATGGGAAGTGGGGACAGGCTACCAAGAGTGTGAAACTGCTGCATGTGAGAGATTGATACATGATAGGTGTGTTCCCCAAAGCAAGGAAGAATGTGTTCTGGACTTGTTTTTACTGGAGAGGTGGTTGAGTATAGATGAATGGCCTGAGATACCACTAAGCCTCCTCAGGGGGCCTGACCTGAAGGTTCATTCGGGTTGCCAGGGGTCTGGATGTCTGGATGGTCTATCACACTGGGAATGAGACGGCTGGATGAATATCCTGATTTAGGAAAGAGACAGACCAGCTCAGCTGTGGAGAGGGATTCCCACCCCTACAGCGGCCTTTTGCCAAGATCAGGGATTACGTTTTTCAACACTCTTGCCAACTGTGTTCCTGATTAACTTTGGGCTGGTGACCACAGCCTCTGACCCCTTAGACAGACTGGGGTTGGGCCCTGAAGATTTTTTTTCCTTCAGTATTCAGGAAACCTCCTCCAGGATCTATAATTTGGCCTCCACAAAGGAATTGCCCTGGGGCTGTTTTGCTCCAACTGGGAGCCAGAAACTAATGGGCTCATTAACTAATGGGCAGCAAGGATTTGGCTCTGCCTGTTTGAGGGAAGTCACTACAGCCTCATGGTTATGAATGTGTTTTTTTTGCCACCACCTAAATAAAGTGCTGCCTCTCCCTCCCTTCCCCCTCCTTCTCCCTCTCTCCCTTTCTTCAGAGTGAGAGGGAGTTGTAGTGAGAACAGAGGCTTTCGGTAAAACACCCTCTTGCAGCAAGACCTTGGACTGGGAAGGAACTCTACGAATTTTCCTCAGGGAAACTGAGGCCGGGACTGAGCTAGGGGTGAGGGTAGGAGGCACACCTGAGTTGTAATTGACGATGTCCACTCCCAGCGCTGGGCTCTTCCGCTTCCGGGGCCGCCCCTTCTGCACGGTGCCCGTGCCGTTGAAGTAAGGTAGGGCCAAGCCGCCGCTCTTGGCCGCCAGCTCCGTGTAGCTCAGCTGCGGTGGATACTCTCCTTGCAAGAGGGTCTCGAAGTGGGCGCGGCAGTACACGAGGCTGTCCTTCATGCCGAAATGGTCGCCCGTGGTCAGAGTCTTGTTGCAAGTGGAGCAGGTGAAGCAGCTCAGGTGGTACACAGAGTCTCGGGCGCGCATGACCATCTCCGAGGCGGAAATGCCAAGGTGGCAGCGGGCACATCGCTGCACAGAGAACCTTCTGGAAGGAAACAGTTGAGTCAGGGCGCTAGTTGAAGCAAGGCAGAGCCATCTCCCACCCGCGACGCCTGGGCTGTGTCTTCAGTGGCCTGAGACTGAGACCTGGGAGGGTTCCAGGAGGACAGGACAGTGGGCATTAATTGTATTTGCTCATCGACCTTTTCCGATGAACCGAGACAAAGGATCCTTACATGAAAGTCAGAAGAATCGGGCAACTAAGCCTTAGTTTTCTTCTCTATAAAGTTAAAATTTAAAATTTAAAAATTAAAAGCAAACCAGCACTAGCTAACTCACAGCACTAGAATATTAAATTGCCATGCCAAGTGAAAACACTTACTCAATTACAAAATATTCTGTGAATGAAGGAAGATATAATTATTCCTGGATGTGCGAGTGTGCGGGGAAATGTGTGGACACAGTTCTGGAAAACGACAATTTTGTAGAGTTAAGGTTATTATTTTTTAACCACTTCTCTTGCTTGGGCTGAGAGTGAAGCTAGGTCACCTGCACATAGTTCTGTCTTTCTCAATCCAGAAACATAACTGAGAAGAATCAATAAAGACGCCTGCTGCTGAGTTTTCTCTCCAATCTGGCGGACATGGTTGTAACTCGCGATAAAGGGAACTCGGAACTGAGTGGCTTGGGTTTTGGCAATGGCATATATTCCTTGTCATAGTCATTTACAAAGTCTCCTGCCACCTGCGAAAAGCTAATTCTCCGTTGCTGTTTCTCGGGCCACCAGTTCAGTTTCAAGGCGCAGAACTTGCCCAATTCGTAGCAAGCGGAAAACAAAAACCCATTCAAATCTCGGTCGACGGAGACCATGTCAATTACTCTTCCCCAAATTCCCCCAAGTTCCGCCAGCCAAGCTGAGAAGTGATGGGAGAGCGTGGTATTCGCTGATAACGCGCTAGACCTTGAATGTCCCTCCCACCCATCCTTACCACTGGTCAGGGAGAGTGCAGCTTGAAGGCTTGTGCAGTGGGTTTCCCTAGTCTCCGAAATGATAACCGCACCCAGAATGGGGCAAAAGATGGGGGACGGAGAGGGGATTCCAGGCTCAGACAGATGGACCCGCCAGGTGTACTCGGGCGTAAGAAGTGGGGGTATAGGGGAGTACCTGTAGTAATCCTCCTTGCAGTAAATGCTACCGTCCTTAGCAAAGCAGGTCAGCTCGGACTCAAGGGCCAGCTTACATTCACAGCACTTCAGGCATCTCAGATGCCACTGTTTGTCCACAGCCAGCAGGTAGTACCTGTCCGAGATCTTGCCCCCGCAGCCGGCGCACAGAGCCGGCTTCTCCGGGCTGAGCGGGGGCATGCCCTGCAAAGCAAGCACACCGCAAGGCTGAGAAGGGCGCGCGGTGTCGCCGCAGGACGCGGGGTTCTCCCCCAGGCAGAGCGATCCCAGGGCGTGCACGGAGCGCGACAGGGGCCAGGGGCCACTGCACAAAGGCAGATGTCGCGGGGCGGGGGGAAACATTTGTCATTTCTCCCTTTGCGGCTTGCTCGCTTTCTTCCGTGTCTGCTTGAACCGGCGTTCGCGTCCTCCCGGGACTATTAACCTCAAGACATCTCGGCCATCCGGAGCCTCGCTTAAAAGGGACTGGGAGAATTTTGACTATAGTTTGGTGATAGTTTCCTAATTCAAATAATTACAAGCTAAAAATTGTGGCTTTCGACGCACACAAAATAAAACCACCGAAATGATTGGGGAGGGAAAGGAAATCTGAACTAGCACAGGTTATTTTTAAACAAACAATATTATAATTCGATTTCTCTAAATTCTTATAAGTAGCATTGAAATCAAAAGCAAAAGGGAGATTATTGAACCTGTGTTCATAACTTGGTCGACATTGTTTTGATTGAGATATATTTGGCAGACTCTGCTGTTCCCTAATTTTCAGGGCTATTGGTCCTGTTCCCAATAAGGGTGTAAAGTGCCTGTTCCCAAAGAGGGTCCCTTGTCCAGTCCCCTCTGTACAGTCCCCTCTTTCCCTAGCAGCAACAGGCGTCCAGTCCCCTCTTTCCCTAGCAGCAACAGGCGTCCTGAGACCTTTGTCTTGAAATCTGTTTAGTGCCCAAGTTAAGCTTCCCTCCTGGGTCCTCACTGGCCCGACTGAGGACGGTAAGCCCCCACCTTGAGGACCCCAGAGCCGCTGCAAAATTTGGGTTTGGGTTTATTTGTTTTTAAACGTAATGGCTAGAAAAGGGGAAAAGAAGTTAACCTCCGGACACGTCCCTCAAGACCGGCAGAAATGGGTTGTACTTTCCCCACGAAATTTCAGAGGGCCTGCAAAAGTACAGTTTAGCCCCTTACTCCGACCAGGGGCGCCGGCACTGAATGACGGTTACAAATACAGACACTTTCACCAGTTGGGCTGCCTGGCCGGACCCAAAATCCCGCTGACGAGGCTAGAGCAGTCTCCTGATTAGTTTCGGCTACAAGTCTTAGTGTGGTACCAAAGGATCTACACAGCTATGTTTTGCTGAAATCATTTCCGGAGACTTCTGTAGTTTCCCCCCTCCCGTTAGTAACCTGGTAAGGGAAGCAGTTAGATAAGTAATTGGTTTTCTTTATTAAGAGGACATGACTTAATTATTATGGATAGTAGAAACAGTGGTAGTTGATTAGCTTGTTTAAGGGTTATAAAGTTCATGAGTTTCTACTGGGCGCGCTCTTCCGTAAGTTTTATTTGATTTTCCCCTAGACATGACACCCGTCCGGCCCCGGCGCTAAACGTAGTGCTGTCTCGATAGAGGGGCTGAGTCGGGATGCCAGAACCCACAAACATCTCTCGGTTAGGGTCGCCAGCCCCGAGCTTCTGGAAAACTGGAAGTGACCCAGTGGCGTCCAAATCCACTCCAAAGGTCCGGTCATCAGGCCCAGAGACTAAGGCCACCTGGGCTTCTGCTTGGCTAGAACGCTGCGGCAGCGCGCCATCCTCCTACCGCTTGCGCCCAGCTTGCCCTCGGAGCTGCGGATCCTCGCCGGGGTGACGCCAGCCCCGGAATCGAGGAACCTCGAGGTCTGTGGAAGAGAACGCCCCCACCGCCCTACTCCTCCTCCCAGCTCCTCTCCCTGCTCTTTCGGAATCGGCTGCTACAGAGGATAGCCAGCTAGTGCAGACATTTCAATTCAGAAAAAGGGACCGTTTCTTAGCCCTGCGGACTTAAGTGGACGGGAGAAAATCCACCCACCAGCCTCAAGCAGATGTCTCTACGACCCGCCGTCCCCGACCTCCACCGGCCAGGCAGTCGGCTTGGCTTAACCGAGGGCGCAGGGGTGCCGGGCTACCGCCGCGGCGGAGCCCTTCCTTACCGCATCGCGGCCGTTGAGCTGGGCGCCTTTGGCCAGACGGGCCTCAGTCTTGGATCTGCGCTCCATCTCCTCCATGATGCCTTGGATGTGGCCTCCGGAGATCCCGTGGAAGAGCATGGCTGGGGGGCGGAAAGGACACGAGTTGTCTTCTGCTCGGCACCCCACTATTTCCATATACACACGCCTGGGGCTCTCAGCTCATCCGAGTGAAGGAGGCTAGGGACCCGCTGAGGGAGCGCAGAGACGCTCGGGGACGGAGGGAAAGAGGGAGAGAGAGGAGGAGAAGAAAGAGACCGAGTGGAAATCCGTCTGCTTGGAGGGCCGGGAAGAGGCAAAAAGAAGTGGAAACTGGGGAAGGGGGTAAGTTCAGCTGCTCCCTGAAGGAGAGATGTGCAGAAAACAAACAAACACGGCGGAGGGAAAAAGAGGCGTAGAAGGCGAATCTTACTGCTCTGAGAGATCGAGTTACTAATGGGAAACAACTGCAGCGGGGGGAGGAAAACAAAATCTGGTGAAGAAAGAAAATAGTTTTGAACACAAAGAAAGAAAAAGAAGTGCTATTTTCAGTGTTCCCTGGCTGCTTGCAAGTTCCCAGTGCCTGTAGGTTGGGTTGGGGACTGCTCCTGCCTGAGCCGTGTCCAATTTGTTAAGAGACTAAAGCCAGCCCATTTTTGATAATTTAGTAGGAGGAGTTCTCTCCCTGGAGCTGCCACGGATTTTTATTCAGACAACAAAGACCTGTCATACTCCTCTCAACCCCCTGGTGATGGGCAAGCAGGACAAACATTACAAAGGGGTGGGGGGATAGAGAGCGGGGAGGCAGGAGGAGGGGGCATTTACCTACACACACACACACACACACACACACACACACCCTTCCAAGAGTTCCCAGCAGTCATGTTTTAAAGGGGAAAAGGAGCTCTTGTTGTCCCCGCCCTGGTGCAGGAGGCCTAGAACCCGCCTATTTGATCCGAGTTCAAGATCAGACCTTGGCTCAGGGCACACAGAATATCAACTCCACATTTTGGGTTTCCTCCTTGTGGACTTTTTCATCCTCAGCCTGCAGGAGTGTCACCCGAAATACATAAATACTTAGCTGAAATGTAAGCACTTTACTAAAGTGGAAATAATGCTGGTTCCTCTCCTCCCCATCCCATCTTCCTCAACCCACTTTTTAAAAGCAGCTGTCTGGCAATTCATCCCTTTGGCTCACCTTCTTGAGGGCCCGAGACCCTACTAGGTGCTGGCTTCTTCCAAAGTGAAAAGGTCGTTTGGAGCATCTCCATTTCTCAGGGTTACTTTTGGCAAAACAATTTTCTTCGAGAAAATCAGAGTATAGAGGACAAAGCATGGACCTGCACACATAGGTATGCAGCTGCGTCTTGGGCGTAGGGCGGCTTATTCTCTTCCCTGGTTCAGGTTGGAAGGAAAGCTGCCGGAGATTCTGATGTCTCATTTGAAACTTGCCAATGTGGGCAGCGACTTGGGGACTCCCGGGAGCTTGACGCCTGCCCCCGCAGGACTGGGCGCTAGCCCCATCGCGTGCTGCTCCCACTATCCTGGCAGGACAGGGGTCTTGTAAAACCGGGCGCACCCGCACACTCTGAAGGGTGTGAAAGGGGCTCTTTGCCGTGGAGGAGGGGAAGGTGAGAACTGACAAGCAGAATGGCAGCCCTGCTCCTCACAAGAGGTGGGATTGTTCTGTCGCCCTCTGTTCCCGGCAGCGGCGGCCCCTCCCCGGCCCCATTAAAAAGTGTCCACAATACTCTGATATTGTCGATTCATTCAAACGGCCGGAGGCCCCCTAGGGGTCCTAAGCGCAGCGCGGCGGCAGGAACCAACGTGGCTTTACCCAGAGAGGAGGACGCGCGGGCCGCTCTCGGCTCCTTTCGTTCCCGTCGTCAGCCTGCGTTCGCCACTGCTTCCCGCCGCCTTTCCCGGGACTGCGGTACCTGTGTCCTGGCACATCCTAGAAACCTCAGAGGGGCCGCCGGGCCGCACACCCGCTTCCCTCTGCCCGGGGGAGCCCGACAGGGAACTGTGGCCAAAGCTAGAAAGACGATGGGAGAGAAGCCAGGGAGAGAGGGAGGGAGGGAAGAAAAAAGGAAGAAAGAAAATGAGGAAAAGGGGAAGGAAGGCAGGCAGGAATAAAGTGAGGGAGGAAACGACCCTGGTGCAGCAGCCTGACTTCCTGTCCCAAAGCGTTGCCTTCTGAGGCTGCCGGAGTGGCCTCTTCCATGAAACTCAAGACTCCACTGCTTCCCCTCCTTTTTTCTCAGGGTCAAAAATAATGTTATTTGCAGACTGGACGCAGTTTAGGTCCTCCGGGTGCCAGAATACAGCTCATAAAGCACAATTTCACACAAAAATGAAGCCAATCAAGTGAACTAAGCCGGAGACATCCCCCTCCTCCTTACTTTGGCAGCTATACCTGACAGCAGGGCTGCTATTTACTGTAAGTAATGTAATTAGCCCCTTTGGATGGGAATCAATGAGCTTTTCAAACCCACGTGCACACAAGAAGGGCCCTGAGGAGGGGCTGGGGGCAGCAGCCCTTTCAGAGACAGCAGGTCCTCTCACAAAGGGGCAGATTGCCTTCACACAAGTCAGAGGCTAAACTGACTCAGAGCTGGAGGAGGAGAGGGAGGAGGAGGAGGAGGAGGAGGAGGAGTCGTCGTCTCTGAGAAGTCCCCACAGTCAATTCACCCAAGGAAGCTTCAAGCAAAAAGTTAAATACAGGACCGCAACCTGCTTTGTCTAACTACTTCGTGCTAAACCCTCTCCCAACCCCAAAATGGGGGTGTTTCAAATTAGGTTTGGTTCTTGTTGCATATTGGCCTGCTCAGCAAAATCAACAGCAAAGAACCCAAAAATGCCACTGTTTCCTTGCAAGAGATAAAACTTTGGAGACGGCATGCAGGGAAAGTTAAATAACACCAGGAAAAAGCCAGAATTTAACAGTCTCCAGGGAAGCCAAACAGGGAAGTCCTGTAAGCCCTCCAATCATCCATTCATTCTTCTATTCCACACTTATTCGTTAATCATCTAGGTACAGGAAAGGCAGAACACCTTCTGTAATCAGTTTCCAAGTTGAAGCCTGCTCTTATAAAACCCAAATTGTAAGTTCCTGTATCCAGTGGCCTTTGCTACTTCCCGTAAAGAAGCAGACTGCCAGGATTCTTCCTTCTCAGAGATTGCAGGAAATCTGGAGAAAGCTGGGGGTGGGTCGGGGGCCCGCTGGAGTTTGGGAGGTCCTTGTTAGCTCTGCGGAAATAGGTCCCGGTGGGTCTAGCCCTGCCTCCTCCCATATCTCCTAAGGAGGAAGTCCATGAAGGGTGGGAAGGAATGCCCTCAAATTGGGTGTGTGGCCCAGGGTGTTCTACTCTTTTTGTCTTCAAGTCCCCAAGAGAGATTGCCTAAGAGCTCCCTCCACTCCTCATTCTCAAAGGACTTTAAGAGCTTTAAATGAGGAGAGCATCTTTGTAGCTCTGCCTCCTTTCACCTCTCCAGCAGAGGGGCTGAGGTTGAAGGCTGGGGACAAAACAAAAGTGTTCCCCCTTCTCCCAATTCTAGGCTGAATGGCCCACAAGTGTTCTATAAAAATCTGGGAGTTCACGTTTTCTGTTCCTGGGGCTGAGCCCCTGGCTCACTCCATGGGACAGGTGCATGTGGCTCTCTCGCGCCTGCCTCGGGGATAGGATCTCAAGCCTCCTCTGAATTCAAAGCTCTACCGGGAATAATGGGGCAGGCCCCTCCACCAGCACTGCTTTCCCCCACAACTGAGCACAGGCAGTCCACTAAGCTTTCTTTCCGTTCTATTCCGACATCATCCATCCCGCTACTGTTGCCGCTTTTAGGAAAGTGGACAGCAGGACTCTAGCGGAGCATAGTAGTTGGAACTGGGAGTTCGGGATCCCAGAAACTCTATGAAGGTCAAGAAGACCGCAGCGCCCTTGACCCGGGCACAAGCAGGTCCACATGGGCAAAGAACCCGAGCCCAGTAGAACTCCCCAGCGGGGAGGAAAGGGAAGGTAAACCCATGGGACAGTTAGGGTTGCGACAGAGGAAGTGACTCAACAAATGTGCCTCTTTTGAGAGCAAAGGTGACTTAAGGTCTTTTTCTTCCTGAATTTTGGAGGCCATGATTCTGTGCCTGTAGTTTGCCCTGTAAAGAAGCAGGCATTATCTTTCCTCCAGACCCGGTTAAGCTGGTTGAGGAGCCCCTTTGGTCTGAAAGGTGCAGCCCTTAAAACAGTATCCAGCTTCTGGCACTGCCCTGAGCACCCCAAGGCCCAGTGAAACGCCAGTGTCATCCTGAGGCTCGGAACCATGCGTCCAGTGCCCTGCCATCTGGCCCTGGATGCCAGGGCAGCGCTGAATGGAAGGTGAGCTGATGATGGCCAGGACGCGCTGGGGCCTTTCTCTTGACAGTGGAGACCGCGATTCTCTATGTGCAAAAGGTCCCCCTACACTGAGGTTGGCAGGTTCATACCGGGGCTGCTACACGGGTGTACTTCTGATCCAGTCCTACTCCAGGGAGTCTCCCTAAAGACAAATGGGAGTGAGCCAAGCAGAGCTGGGACAGGGGAGCTCAGCTGCCAGGAAAGGGGGACCCAAGGCCACGCTCCAGCTGCGCACCGTTGCCAGCCTGTCGCTGGGCGCTACTCCCCGGCCAGGGCCCTGCTCTTTCGCGCATTTCTCTCCCTACCCTCACCCTTTGAGACTAAAAAGCCTCTCGCCAGCTTTTGTTTCCTTCAAACCTCTGTCCTCTGTAGCCCCTGGGTTCTTCTCCAAAGAAGCCGCCGCCAAGTCTAGAATACCACCCTTCTGAAATCTGATGCCCTTTTACCTGAGATGTGTTGCGCCGCCTGCCCTCCTTTCCCCAGAAATAAAGGGAGAAGTCCCGCACGCTGTCCGCCGAGATCAGGCGCAGAAACGGCTGCGCTGGGTTAGGACTGAACAACAACAACAAAATGTGGGTGAAGCCAGTTTCCAGCTAAGCTCTACACGGGCGAGAAACGATGTCTTCTCGCCCCCCTGTTCCATTCCTTCCAAGAAAAAGACACGTCCCTTGTGCCACTGACTACTGGAGGATCAATGGCACCAGGACCTCCGCCTGGCGCCCCGGACCCTGATCCTGAGGAAAGTCAAGGGCAGTTAAAGAGAAAAGGAAAAGGAGGGAGACGAAGGTTTGAGGAATCCTATCAGGAGACTCTGAAAGAGAATGTGTATTTTTAAGCCTACGAAGCGCGGTTTAATTTTTAGGATAAACACACACTGCTTTTCCTTCCACCCAACGAAGGCGCGCACACACGCACACACACTCACATGATATACGCACTGGCCCAAGGGGCAGAGAACATCAGAAGGAACCTGGCGCATAACTCACCTGCCTCTAGAGTGGTACCGTTCAGCATTCTTAGAGGAAAAGGAGTGGATCACGCCGTAATGGTGGTTGCACTGGCGGAGAAAAGCCGCGCGTCAGCCCGGCGGTACGGCCAGGTTTCCCCAGGCACCTCCCAGCCTGTGGGGCGCGCCCAAACCGCTCCTCCCGCGGAGACCTCAGGTAGGGACGCGGCTTGGAGCAAAGCCCGCCCTTCCTCGGGTAGGCTCCCAAGACGTCCCTGGAACTCCTGGCCGTCCGGGCGCGCTCCGAGGGCAGAAAGCTGCTCAGACTAAAACATCTTCATCGGTCTTACCTTGAGGTCCGATGTCAGACGTTTCTGCCACAAGAACTCAGTTCTCGGCGAGGAAAGGCGGGAGGCGGCAGCCAGAGGTGCAGGCCAGTCCCCGCGTCTCGCTGAGTGTCCCTCTGTTAATCCAAATAAATAAATAAAGTGTTAAATGAAAATTACTTTCTCCCTCCTCTCTCCCCGCCACCCCGTTGGAATTGATCTGATTCCCTCACCTCTGACCCTCAGCTCTCTCCACCTGTCTTTTATTTTCTGTTTATGCTTCCAGATCGGGAGGGGGAGAAGGAAAGGGTGGGCAGAGGGCACAGACGCGGGCCGGTGCCCAGAGAAACGCTCTGAAGCTGCGTTCAGCCCTTCCAGACTCTCAATAATCAGAGGAGGTGTTAATGGAGGACTCTGCGGTAACTGAACCTCGTAAAGCCCAGAGCGTCCAGCGGCTGGGACGCAGCGGGGGGGCTGGAGTCCCGCGGAGCGCCCTGGGCTCCTGGCCCCCCAGCCAGCCTTTGCCTCCCTGCAGCTTGTACCTAAAAGATGCTGCCGCCAGCTGGTGCCTGCATAGACGGTGAATGGGCGGTAGCTCCTGCGGGGAAACTAGGCTAAGCCATTGATTGTTCACCCACCGCGTCCCCGCCTTCCCCTCCCTGTCCCTCCCTCACTCTCCGCGCTCCGGGGCTGGGTGTCAGGAACCCAGCACTCTGGAGAGTATTCTGCGCTCAAGGTCGGCGTTCGCAACGGGGTCAACAAGAGAGCCTGGGCATCTCTTCCTCCCAGGCCCCGGCCAGGGGATAGGGGTGGTGATTAAGCTTCAGGGAGAAAACCCGCACTTGGTCCCTGGAAGGCAAGGGTTCGAGGGGAAGCAGCCAGACCCGGGACGGGGCGGAGGCCACTTTACCTGGTCTCAGGTTCCCCAGGGGCTGCGTTGCCCCGGGCGCAGTCGGGCCGCGGGAAAGTGGAGGGAGAGCCGGGAAACTGGGCCTCGGGCCAATTATTTACCCATTCCCCCACCCAGTGCGCCCCTCACGGTCGGAGATGGGGAGGCGGGGGATTACAGCAAGGCTCCCGCGCCGGTGAGGAGGAGAGTATGAGCAGTGAGATTGGCTCTCCAAGATGCTGGTCCGGGTGATGGTGCCGCCCTCCCTACCCGCCCCTCCTCCACGTGCCACCATAGCTACTCCTTGGCAATGCGTGGCGTGGGTCCAGGGCGCAGTGGGCGGGGTGGGGACACTCGCTGGCCTCCCAGCCGCTTGAGAATACTGCGTGGGATTGGGGCTGCACGTGGGGCACACGGTGGTGGACGCCGCCCCCACACCTGCCCCACAAGCTCCGCCATACAGTTTAGGGTCTGTAAGGAACAGATTAGCAGCGGCGAACCCGAGCTCCCTGGCTTTCTCTTTTCATCCCAAATCCTGGAATGTAGCTCCGACTAGATCTCTCTTCCTACCTAAACACTTGGCTTCGCTAACTACTCCCACTAGCCAGTCAGTCCCAACAGTTTACCTTTTAAGCCCCCCTCCCCCCCGCCCCTGACTTTCCTCTTCAGCCCCGGCCTCCTTAGCTCTTTCTTCTAGAATCTCCCCTATAACGGTCAGGTTTCGAAGCCAAAAAGGGACAGTTCTCCCGGTTCATTTTCTATGCTCATCAGCGATGCCATCTGATGAATGGATGGCGATATCCATCCGAAAACGCTTGGGTGCTTTCAACTCATCCCTGTCCAAACCAACCGGATTTAACCTCTTTGCGGTCACATACGGTTTTAGGTATTTGGTAACCACATGCATTCTACACGCGCGTGCACACACACACACGCAGACGCACGCACACTGAAGTGCGCACTGAAGCTCACACTTTAGAATACAAATTCCTGCTAGGAGGATGTGGTCGTTAAGGATCTCCCAGTTCCTTCAGAGTTCATGATTCCTTGGTTAACACTCTTTTATGCCTATAGTGCCAGGAAGGAGAGCTGTGAATCTGTGCATTTTGTGTCATGAGCCCAACCTCGAAGCTGTTTGTGGGTACAGAGGCCAACCCAGTGCCCTGGGCACCCCAGCACACATCAGAGCATCCAGAGGTCCAGGGTACACTGGACATTCCAGGGACAGCTCAGTCTCTGGCTAAAGATAGCTGCGGGTTCTTCCATAACCTTTTTCTCAGAAATCAGGCTCTTCACAGAGGCTTGCAAAAAGGATGTAGACTTTCTCTGCCCTTCATCCCCCACTTAAATACCTGACTTTTTTAATGAGAGAAGGGGATCCTTTTGGCATCCAGGATTACTTCTTAATTTTGCAGAGTAGAGAAAAAATAGCACCGACTTTTCACTTCTCCTCCATAGACATCCAATCCACAAACTCAAGGCACGACTTGAGTGTTAGAAAAGACGAAATGGCAGGTGTCAGCTAGGAGTGGAGGGTGAGGTTCCTTTTGCACTAGCCAGGGGCTGTGTGATCTGAAAGTGCTCATGGGAAGACAACGTGCCAATTGCCATTTGTCTGGTAGTGAGCTCTCTTCCCCAGCCTTATCTGAAGACAAATCTAAGATCTGCAGATTTCTGACAGTGGAACAGTGTGTGCAGAACAGATTTTGCCAATGCCTTTGGAGAAGCGGTGCTGCGCTGGAACAAAGACCCACTCCAGGCCCAGAGAGTGCCTCCACTTCTCAGGGCACTGTTTCAAACACATCCTGTTTGGGAGCCTTAAATTTTACTTGAAAAAATAAAAGCCCTTCCCTTCCCTGCTCTCCATAAACAGTGGGGGCAGTGCTGCTTCTTGAAGAGAGAGGAGTGTGCATCATGATCCACCTGCCACAAGAACCACCGCTACAGAAATCCATCTTCACACCTCACCCTGGCACAAGATCCCCTAGTTTCCGTTGGATCGTTTCACAAAAGAAACAATCTAAAAGTCAATTTCAATTTTCCTTGATTTATTACACTCTGGGGCAGAAGGAGTCTCCAGAAACCTTGAAAGTTGAGCAGCACCAGAGTTGATTTGAACTCTAAAGTCTCTAAGCAACTCTCTATTTCTTGGCATCCACATGTGTTTGTATATACACACCTAATAAGAAACCTGTATTTTACTTTACAATGTGCGAATACAATATAGCTTAAAGCTCTTGCAGCCTTAGACCCATTTATATGGCCATATTGTATTTAATGTGGGAGTACCCGCCCCGCTGCCACCCCTAACGTGTTGTTCACATTCATCCCTCTAGAACTACAGCAACCTCAGCCCTCCTTCTGGCTCCAGGAGCAGGGAAGAATATGAGCATCTTTCTTCCCCAGTCCCCGCCACAGCCCCACCCCCCCCCCCACCCCCCACCCCCGCCCGCCTGCCAGCGGCTCCTTTGCAGTTGTTACCCACAAGGCTTGAAGTTCTGCAAGGAAGAATTGCCCAGAAGAATTACAAACATCCCACCTAAGGGTCCTTCATGACGAACACCCTCTCTTTTTTGGCCAGTTTCCTACTACAGGAAGTGCACTGGGAGGAGGAAAGAGCTGCCTGGAGGAAGGAAGCATCTTTCCACCTGCTAAGGGGCTTTCTCAGAACACTTACCTTAGACCCCTTTTCAAAATGAACTTCCTTTCTTTGTTCCCCTATTCTCCAGAAAGATGGCATTTTAGACTCGTCTCTCCTGAGGGGCTGCTGAAGAAACACTATCCCCCCACACAGAAGATGGCCTTGTTAATCTTCAAATCGAGTAAGAAACATGGAACTAGCTGGTTGCTTCTTGACCAAAATATGGAAAGGAAGCTGGCTCCCCGGAATCCCTATGCCTTTCTGGAAAACTGCTTCTATGATCACAAAGCTGATCACCTCTCCTGCTCCTCTCAAAGCAATTTCCAGATAGGACAGCACCAGTCCACAGACATACTCTTTTACATTACGCTGTAACCCCACAGGGCTCAGGGGCAGCGTTTCTTAGGACACCATGGTTAGAGCACCAGCAAAAGTAGGGCACTGAAAAAGCCAACAATTTGGGGAGACAATTTAATAGTTGACATTTAAAAAAAAGACATAATCAAAAGGAAAATTAGAACATTATTGGGCTTCTTTTCACTTATTTCACCATTAAGAATGGCTTTTGTTTTGAATTGAATGTACCAAAACCTTTGTTTGCTTAAGATTCCTAAAACTCTTATTTGGGCCACAGGCAGAACCTGAGGCAGACCCCTGAGATGTCCAAGGATCTTTAGATCCCATTGAGGGAAGGCTGGGAGTCAGCTCTGGGCAAAGCCAGTCTTCCAAATGGGTAGCAGCCTCGTTTTTCTGAGCAGCTGCAACTGGTTAGGAAAGGGCTTCCTGGGGGCTGCTGTCCTCATAGGAAGCAGAGAAGGTGTAGAAAGAAGCTCCTGTAAGCTCCTGGCTCAGGTTGCAGACCGAGGCCCAGGGGCATCATCGCAGTGAATGAAATAAGTGTACGGCTAATAAAATGTTCAAAGATAGATTTTCCTAGGAAGTGCCAAAAGAAATACAGGAGGAAAGGGTGGGGGGGGGGGCAGAGAAAGAATGGTCTAAGTGACACATCTTCAGCAGCCTGACCCTAAAGTCAAAATGATTTAAAGTTTTTATTGAAAGAACAGATGGAAGATGAGAGCATTTCTTGATGCAGGATGGCACTTCTTGAGCATTCATATGCTGCACAATATATTATATCAATCTCCGTATAGCTCAAGATATAAATAAAATGAAGAATGTACTAAAACTCTTCTATTTGCCAGCAAGCTCCCTTGGACTGCTAACACTGATGGGAAAACAGTACGAGAACTGAGGCTAAGAAAAACCAAGAGCTACTAATGTGACCCAATTGCTACTATTTATTTAATGAAACAGCCATTATTTTCTTTCTTCAACATATGTGTCTGATAATGAAGCAAAAAGAAAAGAAAATAACTATCAATGTGGCATTTCAGAAACACACAAACATTTGTTAGCTTTTTCATTTTATTGATGTTCTTTTAATATGTGTAATTAGGAATACACTAGTGTTCAAGTACTAATAACATAGCAACTCTGAACTAGGGCTTTATTTTTTTTAAAAAAATACAAGTACTGTTGAGAACAGAGATGAAATTGTTGTCAAATATAAAAATATGAATTGAACTGCTTCTTTTTAGATGGATCTTTAACATTGACTTGACCATATGGACACTGCAGAAGAAATAAAACAAATTGGTATTAAATTATTTAATAATCATCTTGAAAAAGCACACTTCTCATGGTGACAGAAAGAGACTGTTAACAATTTTATATAGGCCATTTCACCTATCAGGTCCTGCAGACTAAGAGAAGAATGTTGGCAACCTTGGGCAAATGGTCCTAATTAGGATCCAGGAAACATTTCCTAAATTCATCCTTCCAACTTTAAGACTTTTACTATCAAAAATCCACTTTTAGAAGAGCTTCAAGTCCTCAATTTACAAAAAACTATTATGCATTTGATTAGAAACAGTTATGGTCACAGGAACATACATAAAATGGAAGGTTTAAGTTTTAATCCTGGATACAGCTAATACATGCATTTAGTGTCTATTCTTTAATTATAGAGTAAGCCAGTTAAAGGAAATTACACCTTCTGGCACCAAAACATACAAAGTGTTTTGTAAACAGAGGTTGTTACCTATTTATAATCTTGATCCTATAGCAATTTACCTCAGTACTACGCCTTTAAGAACTAATAGTGGAGAATCAATTCCGTTATTCTTTGCTCATAATAGGGAAAGAGAAATTAGTTTATCTTCATTAGTGAAATAGAGAGGTATCCATTGAAATAAACATTTTAGGAAAGGCACAGGCACTACATGTGGGATGATCGAGTTTCACAATTATTTCAAACACAAACTGGAAAAGAGCCACAGAAAGAACCAGAGAGAGAGAGACAGAAGGTAAGAAGAGAGGAAAGAAGGGAAGGAGGGAAGGAAGCAAAGAAGAAAAAAATCATTATCTGAAGGAAACCTACCTCTCAATGCTAGGTGAGTTTCTATTTATTCAACTAATAAAGAAGAGGGATCTAGTTTGCAACATTCTAGATTTCTTTTCCTGCCCTCTTTGTACTTGCCTAATGAAAACAACTTATTTGAAACCACCTGAAAAGTTTTATTGTAATAAAGAGCTCCCATGAATTTCAAATCACAGCATTTCAAGGAACTGATGCTCACAGTGAAACATGGCAAAATTCCATTAACTTTAAAGATCCTACATTGGGTACTAAGGACTTCATTGTCGTTGGCTAAAATAGCTTGTGAAAAGTGCACTCCAGGTCTATTTGGCTTTTTTATTTGACTTGTTGTTCAAATAATAAGTATTTATGAAGTTACAGAAGCACCGCAAACTGCTGCTGTAATGCGAGAATTGCTACTCACATGTCTGCAAGCAGAGCCACAACATTCACCTCTTTGCAAGTGGGCAATCTGTGTAAGCACCAAATAGCCAGTAGCTGGATCCACATAGTTTAGCTGGCCAGCCTGAAGTGAAATAAAAGGAAACAATTCATTAATCTCGATATTCATCATATCTCCTCACTGTAATGTCTACTCATAAAATACTGCAGAAAAATTTTAAACAATATTAAACTTCTTCCCAGCAGTTTTAGTGGCACTTGCAATTAAAGACCAAATGCACTCCAGCATTATACACAATCCAACTTTATGTGACATAAGGAGAAAATATACAGTTTGAGAAAAATGAGAAGTTGATGGAAAAACAAGAACTCCTCTGTACCTAATAACTATGTAGCCACTGCTCTGATATTTTTCATTTGGTTTCTAGGTAACAAGCTTAATAACAGGTGATTTAAATGATTTTAAGAGCTTAAGAGGCTGAAAATGAACTTTCACTCAGAAGTTGCAGTTGGAATTTCAGTACTTAAAATATGTGGATAATGATTTAAACTTACAGAAAAGGTGCTAATCAAAACCAACAGTCCTTATAGAAAAGTATTACCTTTGCTATTATTGAACACTTTCTTTACCTTCATGTGTTACTCCATTGCACATTTTATACTATTTTTTCCTTGTGTTATTAGTTGTATTTTTAAGTGAAAAAAAGTATTGTTTTAACATATTACCACTCACTACTTTCACAAGTTTGATCAAAAGAAACTTATTGTACTATTTCGAATGTCAAGGAAGCATATTCTATCTACAGTCAAACATGACTTAAAAAGGTGTCTCAAGTACTGTGTGGGAAAGGCAAAGTAAATAACATTTTCTGTGGATTTGGGTCATTTGGGTGATATTACTTAGCCTTGGGTTTTTGTAGAGGAACTTTCCCACGGACTTTTTACATAACCCTTTTACCATGTAGTAACTCAGTGCATCAATCTTGTACAGAGCCTTTTTCTTTAAAATACACATGAAACTTGCATGTCTTCTGACAAACACATTTTTGTATGAACCACCAACAACTTCTTCAGTGTCTAACTTACTGGCTGAATACCTTATTCTGGTTGAGGTTTTAACCCAGTATGTTTCATGAATAAAGTGTGTAGCAAAAGGGCAGGTACAGTCAAAGTCTAGTCTCACTCTAAGGTATTCTAGCAAACCTAGAGCAGGGCAGGGCAACAGAAATCCAAGAAAGTCCCAAGGCTGGTCTGAGAGCGACTTCCCAAATCCAGGAGGACCACAGAAGCAGATTACATGAAATCGGGAGCACTTAGCACTACTTAGAATGACCGATTGTCAGGACCTCACTTCTTTATTTATTTATAAAGTTCGTGTTTGGAGATTTGAAACAAAAACAAAGAAACACTAGGAACTCTGCAGCAAGCTTCTTTTCACTTTTCATAGCTTCTGGGAGTCTTCTGAGGGCAATTATCTGGCAACCTGGAAGCCAAACGGATTGCTCCTGCGCATGCGCCTGCTCTACAGCTTTCCATGTTGATTGAGCACCTCTGAGCTTGCTGGCTGCCCACACAAACTTAAATTGTCCTCAGTGAATGAGCCTCACGTAACGGTGGCCACAGACAAAGATGAGGCAAGGGTGCTCACAGTTAGACTGGAGAGCAGGATGTTCAGTGATGCGCACTGGTACCGGGAGAAAGGTAAGAGAGCTATCTGCCTTGAGGCTGGAGGAAGGACCACTGTTCGGGGGCTCTGATTTGTCAAAAAAGAGCAACAGCTTGTTATTTATGGGACTTAACTTATGGTCTCCTGGATAGTCATTTAACCTGTGATAATGACACTGATGAAACAAGTGTGGATTTTCCGAGTGAGAAAAAATTCCCTTCCTCCCCTGAGCTGATTGAAAGTTTCTTCACATGCCACTGGTGTTTGCTCTAAAGAGAATAAAACTTTTCTTTAATATCCACCATATCTACGTGGTGAAGCGTGAGAACAAATCACATACGTTATTTTTAAAAGGGGAGCATAAACAAGAACAAACAAAAGCTGTCAGTCGCTTCCTGATGAGTCTTTATTTAGTTTCAACACTTGAATGGGTCAGACCGACAGTGGATTCTCAGGCCCTACTAACTGTCATTATTTAAATAAGTCAATTTTAGGCAACCTCTGAGATTTTCTTCTCTACCCCTTTGGCTCAAGTCATACCATATAATACTAGTCCCATCAACTGCTGGACGCACACACAGCTTATTAAATAGGTTCATTTCATACTGCTTTTCTATCTTTATTGAGTCAGTTTCTCTTTTTCTCCCTGCTTCTTTTGTAAAGGTAATAACACAAAATGCTGCCTTTAAACTCACGCAGACCGTGTTAGAAGGCATAAAGGGAGATAAGTTTAGAGACTGGTACTAACAAGCCATTGTCAAGTCCGCAAAACAGGAGAAAACAGCCCGAGCGTGTAGGAAGAATGCAAACACCAAATTGTGGTTTCCTCTGCTCCGTTAAGAGTTAAGAGAAACGACGAGAAGACAATGGAAAAATTAAAATGAATATGTCAATGTGTTGTTTTTTAATCATAAAAATCACTGGATGGCTAAGTGTTCAACTGACAATGCAGAATAAAACACAACACACTTCTGTTGTGACTTTTCAGTCTCTCCACCTTCTCATCAGTTCCTTAACACCCCTTTCCGCAACACACACACACACACACACACACACACACACCCCACAAAAGAGTGGCAGTGGGTCCCACACTGCGACCGGAGCTCGGACGCCGATCGGAAAACAAATCACTCATAATCAAGAGAGACAGGGTAAATAAACCCTCTGTCTGGAACGCGAACTGTGGCCAGCTTTCCCGCGAAAAGGTCGGGAGTGGAAGCTTGCGTGCGTGCGTGCGTGCGTGCGTGCGTGCGCGCGTGTCAGAGGCCCGAGCAGGACCGCGCGAGCGTCCAGCATCCTCTCACTCAGCCGCGCGGCCTGCGGGTCCGGAGAGGCCCGGGATGCGCAGGCGCGGCGGGGCGGGGCGGGCAGGAGGGGGTCTCACCGCGCAGGCGGCCGCGTGCAGCTCTGCGATTCGCCGCTCCGCTGCGGTTAACTCTTTGCTCTCCGAAGGCCTCGCCGCCTTGTCCGGCCTACCCGGCGTGTCGGGCACAGAGCCGCCGCGGTTTCCCTCGTTAGCAGAGCGAAGGGTTAGGCTGAGCTGCTGTTGGAACCCAGCGGGGACCCAGAGAGGTGCTGGCGGTGGGGCGGCGAGAGGTTGCCCCCGCAGCGCGGGACCCGCCAGCGCCCTGATCTGCCTGCCCGCCATGGCGGCCGCCTGCCTTGGGAGGCGGAGCACCCGGCGCTGGGGCCCCGATGGGCGACCGACGCGGGGCTGGGCGCCGCGAGCCGGTCTCGGGCCGCGAGTGGCCGCCGCTGCGTGGAGTCAGGTCGCGCTGCTGGGACAGCTGGTGGAGGCCCACGAACTGAGCCTTCTGCCTTCGCCACCGGGCCCGCTGCGGAAATAAAACCGGCTTTTAAGGCGCATAACGAGGTTCTAATGAGCTTCCGGGACGGGGAAGAGCCTGCTGTTTCCCATCTTTGGACTTAAATTCTAATTCTAAGCTTTTTTTTTTTTTTTTTAATCCACCCCCAAAGGCTGAAAGGTGGACATTTTTTCTCATGTCAAACTGGACTTGGGATCATTCAGTATAATCTGCACAACGGTTAAGATCCCAGGAAGTGATCAGAAGACCCGAGGTTTGTTAATAACCACCTTGGGCCTATCCAGAAAAAGCTGAGTGTTTCCAGGTAATACGTGATAGGAATAAAGGTGGAAGCGGAGCCTTCATGGCTTGATTCTTTCGCCCACCCTAGAATAAGGCCACACTGAGTAAGAGAAGGTGTTGTGTTCATGTTACTGAATATTTACAAAATCCAAACTAAAACTGTATTTCCTTTCTGATGGATGAAAGTTATCTTGATGCTGTCACAGAATTGGAGAAAATTATCGCAAGCCCAGGAGGTAATCTCAGGTGTTAAGATTAAATTAACACCACCTCCTCTTGCTACCCCCAGTCTGGGTTTCACGTAAAGGAGGGTACCAATTTTGTTAGTGCCCCTCAGTATAGAAGAACTGAGGCCAGGAATTGATCTTTGAGAACAAAAGAAAGTAGATTCTTCAGTTGTGCAGGAGAAAGATGCTAAGCCACTATAGGCCATCACTAGACATTTTTTGGTTTCTGTGTTTACCATGCAACCCTGTAGTCAGATGTTCATTGTCTTAAATCTTAGTAGGAGCTGATCGAAACAACCCTCTTGGTTCAGTGCAAATCTCAGCGAGTTAATAAGTTGAAATTCTGTTTTGCAAATTGACTTTCTTTGTTTTGGAATAAAAAATTAGGATTTGGAGACTGGTCAGTAATCTGAGGAGAGTTTAACATCTGGAAAGTGAAGGAAGGACTCTAGAGAAAGCTGTGGAAGAGTGGAACCAAACTCGAGATCACCAAAAATGAACAACTGTGATATTTCTCACATTCACCATAAGTCAGGTCCTCCTACCAAGAAAAACCTGGAATTGATTTATTGCATTGTCTTTAAAATTGAGGATCAGGATCCACTAATAGGCCATGATGTGGATTCAAAGGGTAGGGACGGCATTTTACAGGAATGAAATAGACTAGACCAGATTTAAATAGAAAATAAATAAATAAAATAAATAGAAAATAAATAGGAAGAGTACATATTGTTACATGAAACTTCTTTTAATGGTGATGAGAGGGTGGAAGTGACTGTAAAGGGCTTGAACAACAGAGACCTTGTTGGTAACAGAGTAATTCTGTATCTTGACCATGATGGTTACACAAATTTACATGTGATACATTGTTTTATGTCAAAACAATGTCAAGCTATACATACATTGTTTAATGTCAGATTCCTGGTTTTTATGTCAAGCTATACATACATTGTTTTAATGTCACATTCCTGGTTTGCATATTTTACTGTAATTATGTCAAGTGTAAGCATTGGGATAAACTGGGTGAAGTAAATATAGTACCATATCTGCAACTGCTTGGGAATCTGTAATTATTTCAAAATTTAAAAACAGTAATTTTATTTAATTTTTTTTTTTGAAACAGAGTCTTACTCTGTCGCCCATTGGAGTGCAGTGGTGCAGTCATAGCTCACTGCAATCTCTAACTCCTGATTTCAAGTAATCCTCCTACCTCAGTCTCCCGAATAGCTGGAACTACAGGTTTGTGCCACCACACTTGTTTAATTTTTTATTATGTGTAGACATGGGGTCTCCCAATGTTGCACAGGCTGCTCTTGAACTCCTAGGTTCAAGGGATCCTCCCACTTCAGCTTCCCAAAGTGCTATGTTCACAGGTGTGAGCCACCATGCCTGGCCTAAAAACAGCAATTTTAAAGAGATGTAAAAGTGAATTTCAGATTATTTGGTAAGGCAGATTACAGAATTAACCAAAACCTTTTGTGTGTGTGTGTGTCTTCTATTCCCAGTATTGTTTAGATGTTGAATAGATTACCTGCCCCCTTCAATTTTCATTTGATCTTCATACTTTGGAGTCAGTGTCATTTCTCACCAAGTAACTTTCATTCATTATGTCTCTGTTTTAGAAACTCTTCTCAGGGCTTGACCTTAGCTTATTGTATCATGTGTTCATTTCTCAGATTCTCTGTGCTCAAAGTAGACAAAACTATATGAAAGTGGAGGCATTAGCCGGGCACAGTGGCTCACACCTATAATCCCAGCACTTTGGGAGGCCGAGGCGGGTGGATCACGAAGTCAATAAATTGAGACCATCCTGGTCAACAAGGTGAAACCCCGTCTCTACTAAATATACAAAAATTAGCTGGGCGTGGTGGTTCGCGCCTGTAGTCCCAGCTACTCGGGAGGCTGAGGCAGGAGAATTGCTTGAACCCAGAAGGCAGAGGTTGCCATGAGCCGAGATCGTGCCATTGCACTCCAGTCTGGGTAACAACAATGAAACTCTGTCTCAAAAAAAAAAAAAAAAAAAAAAAAAATGGAGACACTAATTCCCACCTTAGAGTGGTACATACAGTTTGAATTTTATTTGCAAACCATTTATATTTAGATTTGCTCTAGAAAGAGTCATTTTTGTGCCACAACTCTGTGTGTAATATGTAATATTTGATATATTTTATAACATTTATTATATCATTTGGGATATTTGTGTTAATATTGAACATGCTTGTTATGTCAGAGGTGGGGAGATGAGAGAAATGCATTCCCTTATATTGCACTGATACTAATTTTTAAATGGGTATATATGTTAGGACTCTCTAGGTTGTGTGATGTAGATTACACAACTCAATCTAGTTATAATAAAAGGAATGTGTTTGCTCATATAACCGTGAAGCATGACTTGATTCAGGAGTCACCAGGGCTTGGTTTTCATTTTTCTGCTTAGCCTCTTCAATGCTAATTCTCTTTTCAGGAAGGCATTTTTCTCATTGAGGAAATATAGCTGCAGACAGCTTCCATGGTTTCATCCTCTCTGGTCCTTGTCCAAATTAAAAAAAAAAAAAAAAAAAAAAAAAAGTCATGAAGCTCCAGAATAAGAGAAGTCTTTTTTCCCTTCTGAAAGTCCTGTCAGCCATATCTTTATCATGTGCCCATTTTAGAACCAGTCTTTGAGTATAGGTTATACTTAAGCCATTCAGGTCCTATTCCTGGATCTGCCTGTCGGCAGCCAATCTAAACCTGTTGCTGAAAATGACCCCTGAATTAATGCTGCGAACACAATTCACAAAAGTCCACTGCAGTGTGACTTTCAAAAGCGAAATTCCAGCAGCCCACCCAGTCCTTTTTAATACTTAGCATTTAAATGTTCATCTTTAAATCTTTTTATGTTCCTCTGTCCCCTCTAGAAGCCTTCCTTTGATTTCTCACGATTTTTTGTGCCATTTTAACTTTTTATAATTTTTTTGCATTGTTTTCCCAATAGATCAGAAAATAATAGGGGACATGTCATTTTCATCTTTTTATCTCCACAACCCATCTTGTACTTCTGCAGAAAGTATTATGGCACATGGTGAATAATGAATAATGAATTTTTGAATGGATAAATGAGTCAGCAGTTCTTTATTTCTCAAATACATATTCCTAATTACTGACAAAAAAGTCATGAAATTATAAATTTCTATACATAGTAGTGCATATTTGAAAATGTGTATTATTGCAAATATTTTTAAAAACTAAGTGAAAAGAGATACTAAATCTGAAATCTTACTGAATTATATTATTAAAATGAGCTATTTTACCGACAAACAAGACAGATGCATATACTAACTGATCTGATCTAAACTCTTGAAATGCTGCTTTAATTGACTTTAAGTGTTCCCTTTTAATGAATTATGAATGTATTGAGCTGCTGGTGGACAAATTACTGCTGGAGCCACAGAGCTACCAACAGACTTCTTGTCCATATACTTCCTGTTTTGCACACTTCCATCTGGATACTGATTATGTATTTAATGTTTTCCAAATAGCCGAATGGTGTATTATGACATGTCATGCTCCATGTCGAGTGCATTTTCACTAGCAATTCTTATGATTGAGAGCAAATGTTACATGCCCCTAAGGTTGCCTATAGGGAATCTTTGTTTCATTTAATCGGACATCCAATAGCAAACTTTGTTTCACAGAGCTGGTCTTAGAAAATTCTTTTGGGAATTATAACCATGCCTATTTGCAAGCCCAGCAAATCTCTGCTGACTTCACAGTGGATGCTACTCCATCAGTGTTACATTGCCTAGAGCACTGCTGCATTTGACTCTCATCTTTCCATTTTGTTTTTGTTATCTTGGATGAGTGTAGATGAGCTATGTAATATGAAGTAATGTAGTCATCATCCACTTAGTCATTCTTTTTTTTTGAGGTGGTGTCTCGCCGTTGCCCAGGTTGGAGTGCAATGACATGATCTCAGCTCACTGCAACCTCTGCCTCCCAGGTTCAAGAGACTCTCCTGCCTCAGCCTCCTGAGTAGCTGAGATTACAGGCTACTGTAGCCTGTACCACGCCTGTCTAATTTTTCTATTTTTAGTAGAGATGGGGTTTTACCATGTTGGTCAGGCTGGTCTCGAACTCCTGACCTCGTGATCTGCCCACCTTGGCCCCCCAAAGCGCTGGGATGACAGGCGTGAGCCACCATGCCCCGCCAGTCATTCTTTAATGAATGATAGTCTGGCTTCTACCTGTACTGCCAACTTAAAAAGTATTGCTCAATCCAGTGCACTTACACAGTACTTCCCTAACTAAATCTCCATGTACTTTTAAGGTGGTCAGTTGTCTACCCCTCAAAGCTATGCTCTTGACTTCTTGGACCTCAAATTCTTAAAATTTGCTTTTTTTAAATATTATACTTCGTCTGACTTTTTAAAGAGCCCTTCTTCCTCCTCTTCATCCTTACATGTTGATTTTCTTCAGCATTCTTCAGCAATCCTCAGCCCACTGCTCTCACTGTATAACACTTCCCCAGGTGCTTTTTTCCACGCTTATATTTTCATTATATTACCCTGTAGTACTGATTCTTCATCAGGTTCAAAGCTTGTGAGAGCAACATACCTATCTAGCCATCTGCCTGCTAGACATAGGTGTTTAAAATTACCCCAAACTCATCATGTCCAAAACAGACTTAATCACCATTACCTTTGAAATCTTACTTTCTCATTTATTTTCCATTTTAAAGGCATGGTTGTCCAATCATCTAATTCAGAGATCTTGGAGTAATTCTACACTTTTCCTACATCTCCCCATTCAGACCATCGCTAGCTCCTGCCGGTTTCGTCTGTAGGTAAAGTCTCAAATTGTCTCTAATTTGTCAAAAAGTCTCAAGTTGGTCCTTTCCTTTGCTTCTATCATTGTTCATTATCTTTATCATTATCCTTTCTTTCCCCTGACTACAACTATAGCAGAGTGGTTCCTTATTGTAAATAATATATCAGGAAGGCTTACTGTGGATCACATCACTCTGATAAGTGCTGGAGATTTATTATTCATACTTTGCACATGCTGTTTAGTCTGACAAAAAAGACCCCATCCTCATCTGTACCTCAGTCTTCATGCTCATGTCCTTGATGAAGTTATGCTTGTATTTAAAGCCTGAGTCTACATGTCACCTCTGGTAAGCTTTTCCTGGCCTGCTCACTCTGTTCCTTGTCTCCTTCTTTCCCCAGTCTTCTCTGCAGGCTGGGCTAGGCTTGCCACCCCAGGGCTCCCATCATATCCAAAGCATGACTCTACAACTCTATATTGTACTTTTCTATTGTATAATTTTATGCTTATGAGTGAGTTTTTACTGCCAGACTGTGAGGTTTTTAAGGATAAAGATTGTCTTAAAAATCTGTATCTCCAGTTGCACAAGTATATAGAAAATGCTTAAAAAAATTGCTTGTTTTAATGAATAGATGAATGAATAATGGCAGCAAAAACCTACATATGAATGGCATTGTGAAGAAATTATACAAATGTATTTTTCCCTAATATTTTATGGTTATGAAGCAGTATTGGCTTTTGCCAATACATCAGTTCTCAGGCTATTGTTTATGAGACACAAAATACTAAAATAACAACTGTGATTTTATTTGGCAATCCATTTAGTAAATTCCCCCAAAACAGTCATTGAATTAATGGTAAGTGCAGTGTATGAGCTGCATTCCAAATGAAGCAAGTATATGTTGACAGTGAAGTGTAGCCTTGTTAACCCTGAACAATCATTTCCATTATAAACTACATGCACACAATCACTGTCACATAAAATATCCAGACTAATTACTTCTAGCCCTTGTGTTATGCAAGTATTAGAAATGAAACCTACTCTTATGTATATTCAGTATAACAGTGAAATATCCAGGAACATTGTTAGAAAAAAAAAGAATTTTTACATTATTAAGACAAATGGATTAGTGTCATGCTTTTAAAATTGCACAGGCAGCCACTGTTTCATAGGATTTCCCACATACCAACACATTTGTAACAGATCTTGGTTAAGGCTGTAAATACAACATACAAATCAGAGCGTTGTGCTCTGCACTCTTGTTGCTGCCTGAGGGAGAAAACCATGTCCACTGTTCCATGACTGGAATGAAAGGCACACTGAGTTTTAGGTCAAATATCTGTGACATTGACGTGTATGACTAGTCTACTGAGTATGATACATGTTAATATCTTCCCAGTGGTGGGCACGAGTGATATGCCTCAGTGATCAACACAGCACACACAACCCCTTTAGGTTTTCTACAGGTGTAAAACTGATGCATCTCTGAAATCCTGTGGAATGTGATTCTTCAACGTGCAGTTAAATTGTACTATTGCTGTGTGAGTTTTCTTCTTTGCATAATTCTGTAAGAATGTCATCAACATCAGTTGCTCCATCTGATGATATTTTTGATGGCACATTTCAGACACCATTATTATGATCTAAACCTATTTGTTTTACATTATTGGACCAATAAAAGCAGAAAAAGAAAAGTTTCACAGCTGACTGAGTGCCGCAAAATGTAAGTGCTATGCCTACATTTTGATCTCTGAAATGGTCAGTGATACACTTGTAACATAATTGTATAATTCATATAAAATCTAAGTTTTATGATAGGAGCATGTATATTCTGCCTGTCATCTTATTCCACTGTTAAGAACAGTGACTGACCCGTAATTCACTGAATAAGTTCTTGAGTAGTAGCATGACATGCTGAAAGAGCATTGTCTTTGAAGGCTTGAAGACGTGAATTGAATTTTAACCTATTCACTTTCTAATTCTGTGGCATTTCGATTATTTAAACTAAACCTGGGTTTCCTCCTCTGTAGAATGTGAATAATATCTCAGAGCTGAATTATTGTGAAGGTTAAATGACATAGTATATTTAAAACATCTGTCATGATGCCTAGCACATAGTGGGAGCTCATAAATATTAGCTGTTATTATTACTGAAACCACTTTTGTGCTTTTAGCATTTTGGTATGTCAGCCTTCAGCTGCTTAATAGTTCAGTTGCCTGTTTTACCATCAATCCTTAATGGGATGAGGCTTAGGTTGTTTGAATGATTAGTATTTTTTTTTACAAATGACAAAAGCTTGATATATATCTATATAATCAAACAGAGTTTTCCATTAAAAGCTTTGTACAGTGAGCTAAAATTATATTTTAAGATTCCAGAGATCATGTTTCTAAAGCATATTGACTGTAAGAATGTAAATAACTTACTCACTGAGTAGCCCTAAATAGTTATGGACAGTAAGTGATAAAGGTATGCAGAATAGGGAGATATCTTTGTTAAGTTTCTTGGTGAGAAAAAGTTTTATGACAGAAGAATTTGAAGTGAGTATTAAAGAATGTTTATAATTTTGTTAGGAGCTGTGAAAGAACACCTAATTTTAGGTAAGAAAAAGATTTGAAGAGAACTTTTGTGGGTAATACTAGGATGCTTTTGGTACACATGATAGCAAAAGGCAACTCTCTTTGCATAACATGAGAACATTGATCATGTCACAAAACAAGAAATCCAGAGATGGTGCTACAGGGTAGCCTAGCTCAACAGCAA